TTGAATAAATTTCGAGCGGAGCTATCAACGATACCCCCCAAAACACACGTACACACACTCTACACACACTCTACACACATACACATACACACACTCTACACACACACACACACACACACACACACACTACACACACATTACACACACACACTCCACACACACACATACCAATATATAGATATGGTGCTAAAAGTAATGTAACAATTTTTTCATAAGAATTTATTTTTATTTCAAAATAATCAAGTTGCCCCTCTGTGAATGTATGAAAATGTGATTTTATCAAAAGTAAATCAATTGAACCTTGGCGTGAAACAATTTTGTTATTTTGTAAAAAAGACATTTCAAATGAAAACTAGATGTGCCTTTAAATAAGAAAAAAAACTTGCTGAAGCATTTTAAACTCACACATGGTCAACTTGTTTAGCATAACAGTTTTAAAAATTCACGCTCATACACCCACAAATGCATACACAACACACGTACGAAAACACGTTCACAGACGCACGTACAAACTTCCTAATGGACACGTACAAACATACACACAGGTATGTAAAATGCAACAGATACAAACAAACACTTTCAAACACATGTTGTAAATACGTGCAAATATTTGCAGGTTTTTAAAATTTAATCATTTTACGCATACCATGTAGCGTTATCACAGACGGAAGTGCACGTACACACGCACAAAAATTCAAACACACACAAACAAATACCTACATAGGCAATCCCAAATGTACCTGTGCCAGCATGAAAACACATACGTATTTTTGTTCACAAACAAACACACAAACATTTGTTCACAACCATACATTACAAACAAATACACACACACATTTATTCACAACCATATAGACACAAACAAACAAACAAAAGCATACTCACACACAAACACACACCCACAAACAAACACATACTCACATACGCACAAACACACACACAAACAAGCACATACTCACACACAAACACACACAAACACGTACTCACACACACACACACAAACACACGAAATAATACTCGGCGGCCACTGAATGGAAACAATTTTTGCTTGAAAATGACGAATGCACAGGGCAGCCTTGTAAGCCCGCACGTCCAGCAGCGCATTTGTCCACGTCCAGCCATGAATTCGCACTGAGTTATGACCGGCTATTTTATTTTGTCAACCAGTTGGAAGTTTATAGATATGAAAAGAGACCTGTGTTGTGTGAGTGTTCGTTTGTGTGTGCGTGCGTGTGTGTGCGTGTGTGTGTGTGTGTGTGTGCGTGCGTGTGTGTGTGTGTGTTTGGGTGTAAATGGTAACTACAAGTATGTAGATTATTGTTATTTTAGTTGATTTGATGCTTATCTTATCTTTGATTTGAATGTATGAATGTGTTTGTATATTTTTGTGTGTTCGTGTATGTGCGCGCGCGTGTTTGTCTGAATTTTTATGTATTTGTATGTGTGCGTATTTGATTTGTATTGTTTTTACGCGCGCACATCTAAGTTTCGTGCCGTCAAACATTTCCGATTTCTATTTCTTTTATGAATCGATTTTAAAAGCAAATTTATGCGAAGAATTAATTGCGCATCACAAATTCGAATGTAAGTGGCTGTGGTTAAATGGAATGCAATAATATAGACCGTAATTTGAGTACGTTACGTTTGCATATACAGTCACGGATCTACACACACACACACACACACACACACACACACACACACACACACACACACACACACACATATATATATATATATATCCAGAAACACGTACATATGTACATACATAAACATTTTCAAAAGTACATAGACACATACACATATGTACAAGAATATTTACATAAAGCACATATGTACATACAAACACGTACATATATGTACCTACAAACATACAAATACGCCTGCAAGAAAATACACACACACACACACAGACACCGCGCACACACGCGCACACGCATACATACAACACACAAGCAACAAAGAAGGAACGACAAAAAGATTGAAGATGATTGACGATGACACGGAAGAATTAACCTGTCGTTCCGTGCAAAAAATTGCGTAAAAATTTTGAAAAAGTTTGAAAAACAAAGCACTGGATGAAATTTTTGAATATTTTTCAACCATTTTGAAAACAGTTGAACGATGAAGTCAAAAAATTTCTAAAAATATTTACTGACAATTTTTAAGAAATGATACGGTTCAATATAGACAGTAATTATGCACCACTAATAGTAGCAGCACCGGTAAAAATAGTGTAGTAGTAGTAGAAGTAGTAGCTGTAATAGAGGTAGTAGCTGTAGCAAAAGTAGTAGCTGTAGTAGTAAAAATATTAAGAAAAAGAAAGGTGGTCCATCCTTAATTTGCCAGACAAATACTAACCTATTCAGTAGTTGCAATTGTATAATAGTAGGGGTAGCAGCAGTAGTAAAAATATTTGTACTAGCATCAGCAGCAGTTGTAGTAGTAGTAGTAGTAATAGTGGCTGCAGTAGTAGTAGTAGCTGCAGTACTAGTAAAAATACTAGTGGTAGTATTAGTAATAGTGTCGCGAGTTTGTTTGTTTTAGTTTGATTGCGAACAAGGAAATGGGATTGAATGTTTCGCTTGGCTGCATGAGGTATAAGAATTCAAGGCAACCCACCACCGCTACTACTACTACTACTACTGCGGCTGCTGCTACTACTACTATTACTATTACTACTGGAAATAAAACTGTTACTACTACAGTTTATTATTATTACTAAATTATTTTTAATTTACTTAAAATAATTTTTCGAGATTTCGAATATAATTTTTCAAGCAACTAAATTAAATGAATTCAAGAAAGACATATATTTTTTCGCAACTAATTTGAACAGCAAAAAGAGATTTTAAATAAATAAAACCTGAGATAAAATAAAATTTATGAAAATAATTTTAACAAGTATTAAACTCATTTAGTGGTGACCATTTTTACATGTTTTCAGTTTTCATTACGGTTTTTCACACAGTTATATCAAAATTTTGACAAATTTTACCAAACCTAACCAATATTTTCTATTGTGGAGGTTGCCAGCCGTAAATTTTCCAACGTTTCATATTTTAATTAATATAAAAAAATATTTTATTCCCAAAAAATATTAAATATTTGTTTAAGATTCATTCTATATTATTATTTAATAATTAAAATATTCTATATTGTAATGGAATAAATATCAAAGATTTTCATTAGAAACAATGTGCTAATTTAGTTTTGTTATAGAAATATAATTAATTAAAACTGACTAACTAAATATAAATGATTAATTAATGATTAATCAATTAATTATTGATTGACTGATAAAGTATTGCACATGCATGTTTGTTAATTTCGCATTTTTTTAATTCTACATTATTGATTGTTTTCTCATTCTGGATAATGATAATCGAACTTAAATAAAGGCTACTAAAATATTGAAATTAATATAAATTTATTGTAACATAAATGCTAAACAATTATTTAAATTACATTTTGGCTTTTTGAGCCTTTTAAAAATATGTAAAGTTTATTAAAATAAACATTTATTTATGGGAATTTTATAGAATGAAAATTAATCATAATAAATAGTAAACGAAGCGAATACTTCTTTCTCTTTCTTTCTATTTTATTTTCTCTTTTTTTTCTCTCTCTCTCTTTCTTCATTTTATACATACACACATACATACATACACATACACATACATACAACCATATGTACAAACAAAGATACATACATCTTACATATTTTACCGATATGCTTCGAGGTTACCTTTCTTTCCTTAGAGCCCCAACACTATTAAACTCCTTAACACAATATGTAAGTTTATAAGTGTTATATCAGTTAACTGCAGTGAACTGTCTTATGCAACGAATCACATTTGGTGTTTATTGCAGAGGTTCCTGCGTGTCTGTGTGATAGAGAACGTTCAATTGAATGCCGAAGTGTGAATCTATCGACATATCAGAATGTTAATCTATTTGTTACTTGATGTTTGACTGTTCAGTGTCATTCATCATGTTTTGGTTTTAGCATACTTACATAAATACATACAGTGTATATACATACACACAGTTTACATACATACGTACATACATTCAGTGTACATACATACAAATATATACATACATACATACGTGCCAACAAACCTACCTAAAACCATACATACAAGCATACATACGTCGTTCCATGCATTGCCCATGTGTTGATATTTGCGCGCTGATATATTTTGATGAGAGGAGCTTGAAGATGAAGATGAGGAGGAAGATGATGATGAAGATAATGATGATGATACTTGTGATGTACCTATATAAAGGAAATAGATTTGTTTGGGAGGATAATGACGTTCATACAATGAAGTTATTGATTACGTCACTGTACATTGCATAGATATCAAAATATTATTTTATTAATACCTAAAATACACTCTAGAACAAACAACAACAACAATAACAAATAAAAATAATATTGATATTGTTATTGTTATTATTTAAAATTTTTTTCCAACTTTAATTGATTGAATGGGTGGTCATTAAGTTCTGTTCAATCATACACGTAGCAGACCTTTTTAATACACTGTGTTTCAATAAATACAGTATATTTAAACAACCTATTATGCTGTATTTATTAAAATAATTACGTGCATTATGATACGTGTAGAACAAATTAAAAGTTTAATTCGTTGGTTTCCAATCATTTTATTATATCGTTAATAACAAATAGTCATCAGCTGACCCAATGACATTAACAACAACTACAACAACAACAGTGTTAATATTAGTTATAACTGCAACAACAACAATAAAAATATTGACAACACATCTGAAAGAACTACAAAACCATTCATCGTATCGTCAATATTGCTTATACAAACGCATACAAAGCACCAATACTAATCATAAAATAATAATAATAAAGTTTTATTTATGATAAACAATAATAATAATGATAATAAATAGCAAAAATATTAATAATAACATCAATTCTAAAGTATTGCGCGTAAATTTTTTTTAGAACTTTTGATATGGATGTCATTCGAGCTGGTATGTCATTTTGGTTTCCATTATTATTATTATTATTATTATTATTATTATTATTATTATAGTTTCAATTAATTATTTAATTAAAGGATTATTTAACAATTGATTATCATTAGATAATGAATTATTATTACATACTGGATATGGGCTTATTGGTTAAATTTAAATTAAATTAAAAGAAAGAAAAATTAAATTTTTTCTTCTGTTATGATACGTTATGTTTTATTATTAAATTATAAGTAATTTTCTGGTACGAAGGGTTTAATTGATTATTTAATAAATCAATTTTTTAGTCAATTTGTTGATTAATTAATTAGCTTCTTAATTAATTATATAATCTAAATCAAATCTGTCATATTCTTTTCTTTCATAAAATCTCTGCGGTCATATCAAAATAATAAATATAGTAATAGTAATAATAATAATAATAACGGAAATTATAACAATAATAATAACAATAATAAACCAAATAGTATCCAAATTACAAAAAAGTGTATCATTTATACAGTGATAAATGAAGAAATGATGTTGTTTAAATATAGAGAGTTAAGGCTGCATTAAAAAATTAATTATAGAAATTTCTCATATAGTTATACAGAAAATTTTATTCATGTTTTTTGCATATTAATTAATTAATTCTTTCATTTTTTAGTTAATTATAGAGAATTAACGCTATATTAAAAAATTAATTATAGAAATTTATCAATAATTGAAAATAATTATATAAATACTAATACTAAAATATCATTGTATATGTAAATATATACAATGATATTGACAAGGAAAACCCACAATTATTATTTTCATTATTATTATTATTTCTATAATTTTCTAGTCGACAGTCAATTTAGGAGTGTAAGGGCGTATGCTATGAGACACTGTCGACCAATGGAATGAGAGAAAATTTTTACTTTTGTTTATTAAATTTGTATTATAGTTATTGTTCTTATATATTTGTATATTCGTTTGTTTTTAAGTTTGTTTGCATGTTTGTTTGTTTGTTTGCATGTTTGTTTGTTTGTTTGTTTGCATGTTTGTTTGTTTGTTTGTTTGCATGTTTGTTTGTTTGTTTGTTTGCATGTTTGTTTGTTTGTTTGTTTGTTTGTTTGTTTGTATGCACGTTTGTTTGTTTGTTTGTGTTTGTTTGTTTGTTCATTCATATATTTATTCATTTAATAATTACATTTATTTCAATTTTCTATGTATAATGATCAAAGTTTTTTTTAGATTATATAGTTTGTATTAAATTTTGTTTTTCGTATATTATGTCATAAATTCATTTATTTATTCATGTATGCGTTTATGAATTCGTTCGTTCGTTCATTCATTTGTTCATTCGGTTCATTCGTTCGTTCATTCGTTTACTCGTTCGTTTATTCATTCTATAATTTTATTTCTTCACTTCTAATTTTATAGGAATACTACAATACAATAACTCTCTAGTTTATTTTCAATTTACTAGGAAATAATCCATCCCTCCACTCAATTATTTTTAATTTATTTAAAATACACGTCGTAAGGTTATCTGTTTAGTTTTAATTTATTAAAAAATTGAATGATTCTTTGATTAATTTCTTTTACTATCAATGCATGAGTGAGCGAATGAGTGAGTGAATAAATAAATGAATTAATTCATTCATTAGTAAATTAGACAATTTATTTATTTACAGGTATGAATTATTACTCGATTCGTGCTGGTTTAGTCAACAACAACAACAATCATAGAAACAACAACAACAACAACAATAACAGCGAAAATAGCGATATGGAATCATTAATAATGAGAAATAATAACAGCAGCAACAACAACAATAATAATAAAGAATATTTTTATGACGCATTTGATAACTCGATGACGTCTCAATTTATAAACGCGCCCATTAAAAATTTGTCACCCCATAACAGTTCGTCGTCTTCGTCTACGCCATCACTTCAGCAGCAACAACATCAGCAACAACAACACCAACAAATGATGTTGCATCAGCCCCATCTACCTTCCATGAGTCCCCATCACCACAACAACAACAACAACAACAGTTACAACCAACAACAACAACAGCAGCAGAGAATAAAGACATCGTCGTCGTCATCATCGACGTCATCACCTATTGATTACATGACCACCACCAACAACAAAAATGATGACGTCATTGGACTACATAGACATCTCCAGCAACAACAGCAACAACATCAGCAACAACTATCGCTTCACATGTCACAAGGCAACAGCAACAATAACATCAACAACAACAACAATAATAAGATTGGCGATATGTCTCGTTCCATTTCATGTTCCAACAATAACAACATCAACAACAACAACAACAAACTCATGTTATCTTTACAGCAACAACAGCAACAATATCTGAACCAACAGCAACAACATCAGCAACAGCAGCTGCCACTACTTCCGGCAACCCAACCAAAAATCGAGAACGACATGATGGACGACTCAAGCATGCTCCAGCCACCACCTTCTGCGAGTCCACCAAAAGATGACGACGACGACGACTCACTCAGTGGCGATGACGATTCAGTTATTTCCGGAAACGGAAGTGGAAGCAAAGATGGCGGCGGAGAAAATGGCGGTCGCGAAGGTGAAGGAATAAGTGGTGGAGACGGTGGGAGTGGTGGATCCCCTCAGTACCCCCCAGATGTTCAGATCTACCCTTGGATGAAAAGAGTGCATTCCACCCATGGTTCGTGCTAGACTGGTTTTGTTGTTTGGACGAACTGTTTCGCTGTTTTGATGCACTAATTAAATGTTTTTTTCCACGAGTTACTTGTTTTTTGAAGTTTCCCAGTCAGCTAAGGCACTTTGTCAATCACTAGTTTATTCATTTATTAAATCATTCAATCAATCATTCATTCATTCTTTCAGTCATTTATTGAGTCATTCATTTAATAATTTTTCTTCGTTTTTCTTCGTTTTTCAAACATTTTCTCATTTTTATTCAACATTTAGCAAATTTTTTTATTAAACGAGTCCGTATATAGATAATCCAAACACAAACACACACACATATATGCATATATATATATATTCATTCATTTTCATTCATTCGCTAACTCACTCTCACTTACTCACTCACTCACTCACATTCGTCCGTCCGTTCGTTCATTCATTTAATCATTCATTCGTTCGTTCAGACGTTCATCCAATCATTCATAGACCCATTCATTTTACATTGCTACAATCTTCCCACTTGCTAATGGCGCTACATTAAATAATAGAATATCTCATAAATCACGCCGGTGGTTACAACCTTACTTCGAAAATGTAGTAGTGGTAATAGTAGTAGCGACAGTAGCCGCAGCAGTAATTATAATTATAATAATAACAATAATAATAATAAAAGTAGTAGTAGTAGTAGTAGAAGAAGTAGTAGTAAAGACAAAATTAGTTGTAAAAGCAACCGTAATAGTAGTGGTATTATAACTTGTGTGTAGTAAGAGTTGAAGTTATGAAGTAGTAGTGTAGTAGTAGTAATAGTGGTAGTATAGCTTGTAGTAATAGTAGTTGCAGCATTGGTGTTGGTGATAGTTGTAGTAGTAGTAAACTTTGTATAGTATCAACTGAGAACGTTGAAGTGAGAGAAAGAGAGGGGAGAGAAAGAGAGAGAGAGAGTAAGACAAAGAGAGAGAGAGAGAGAGAGAGTAAGACAAAGAGACAGACAGACACACTGCCCTAAACTTGTACTGACATTAAAAAAAATTGGTGCCGTTCAAATGTAAGTACTTGGGTACTTCTGCTTTCCGGTACGAAAGGTGATTCGGTGGATTGGTTCATGAATTTGTGTGATTCTCTCTTTCTCTCTCTCTCTCTCTCTCTCTCTCTCTCTTTCTGTGTGTTTGTTTGTATTTGTGTGTTTGTGTGTTTGTATTTGTGTGTGTGTTTGATGTTCGTGGCAATAAATTTGCAAAAAATTAAACAAAATTACGTCACCCATTTTGCTTATTTTGAATACAAAATAAGTCATCTGAATTGGTTTTATTTTCAAAATTAAGATAAGAAATTTACTAATCGTCATAACCTAAGCATTGTTATTGAGTGATATACTGAGTAAAATTGACGATGATTGCAATTGTGAAGATGATGACGACAAAAACGTTATCAGAAGAAAGACAGCTGAGTTGATGATAACTGAATGATGGTGTTGACGATGGCAGAAGTGATAATGCAAAACGATGATGCTGTTGATGACGAAGAAGATAAGGTTGTATGATACGAAAGATACCTTTTATTGATTATTTACACTAGATGCAACACACACACACCACACACACATATATATACACACGCACGCATGCAAGCAAGCACACACGCACGCACACACACAGCAATTTCTAGCCATCTTTAAACGCGCAAATGATTGGCTGTTAATATAACATGACTCTACGTACATACATAACATACATACATATATTCAACTCATACACACACACATACATACATACATACGTACGTACATATCTCTGTTTTCCTATCTGCATACATGCATTTCTGTTTACGAATTAGTAGCTCACCAAAATGTGGCTAAGTATCTTTTAAGAATTAAAACTACTGTGTTGGCTCGCTTGAGCGATTGTATGTTTGTTCCCTTCATATTATTTGTATCTTTTGTTTTGTTTTGGTTGTTTATTCATTTTTTATGACGGGTTTTTGCATAGATGCTTGTATTTTGTGAAGATTTTTCTGTATAGACATTTTTCATTAGCTAGTTACTTTGCTCTGAAGGTTTGTTTAGTTTATTAAACAAAGCAATCAATCTTAAATGAGATTTCATTTTCTTCAAAAATGTTTTAGTCAGCCAGCAATTAATTATAGCCAGGGACGTATTTACAGGTGTACAGTAGGCCCTGGAGCAGCAAAAAAGATAGTGCCCTCTAATTAATTAGTAATTTTCCTTAATTATCAAGTAGGGGTTCTGAATCATTTAGTAGTGAGTTTTCTTCTATTTATTTTAATTGATGCGTCAAAATGGCCATAATTAATGAACAACAGCAAGAATTCAAATAAATTAATGTACCGTATTAAAACCATAAAAAGTCAACTAACCAGAAACATATTAAACAAATCAATTAATAAAAAAAAATTAATCAATTAATCAAATAAATAATTAACTCAACAACTAGTTAACTTATCAATCTATCCATCCATCCATTTATCTATCTATCTATCCATCCAACTACCCAACAATCTATCTATCCATCTCTCTATCTATCCATATATCCATCCATCTATCTGTCTACTATCTATCCATCCATCTATCTGTCTATCTATCCATCCATCTATCTATAGAATGATATTTCCTCATCAAGGAAAATCCAGTAAGTCAATCCGTCATTCTGAAAAAAAAAGGAATCACTAGAGCGTGACGAACATGCCGTGCTCTCCTGATAATGATCCTCTTCTGTTTCATGATCATGATCATGATGATCCGCTCTTTGTCGTTGTGATGATGATGATTGTGGCGAGGATGATGATTAGGAAGAGGATGATGATGATGATGAATTTCTTGTTATTTGTTGTTGTTGTTGCTGCTGAATTTTCTATGGTACAGCTTTATTGATATTGTTGTTTTGGCTCGTTGAGGACCGTATTTCAGTGTTAAAACGGCCATCCCGATGACGATGATGTTGAAGATGATGACGATGATGTTGAAGATGATGACGATGATGATGACGGTGATTGAAACGATCATACATTCAAATGAGCCAACTATAGAAATGCAATCTAACTCAATTACACTGAACAAACTAACTTGTGATTGAGGAGGAAAAAGAGCGAAGAGAGAATAAAGAGCGAATGGATGAATGAATCAGTGAATGAATGAAGGAACGGACAATCAATCAAACAAACAAGCAAACAAACAAACAAACGACAATCAAACAAACGAACGAACGAATAAATAAACAAACTAATGAACAAAAGAATGAATAGAGGGTAAGAAAGGAGTGATTAACTGAGACGAACATAATGAGTATCAGAGCTTGAATTATTTCATTATCACTGCACTGGATGACTTTGTAAGGGCCAAACTGTAACGAAACCAACTAAGCAAAACCTAAAACAACCTAACGAATATTATACGAACTCACGCACACAGTCACACACACACACACACACACACGCTTTTATATATATATATATATATATATATATATATATATATATATATATATATATATATATATATATATATATATATATAAATTCATATATAAATATATACAAATATGTATATATATTGTTGGAATAAGACCATATTTTAAGCAGTATTGTATGAATTCTACCGAATTGTTGGCATTACCCAATTAAAAGTTTGTTGAATTCTCCTTAACTAGAATTATCGCTATTTTATTATTATTATTATTTATTTATTTATTTATTAATTATTCTTTTATGTCATCACCATTCCACCTTTGTCATCATTTAAATCGTTGTCATCACCAACATGATCACCAGCATCATCATCATCATCGTCATCTGCGTCATCATCATCACCACCACCACAATCACATCATCATCATCACCACCACCAACTTAATTTTTGCCATCTTTGAAAATTGCACTTGCCTCAGTCATCAAAAACACGTGTTACTCTGTTACTCACACATTCACACATACGTACACATACACACATACGTACACATACATTTTCACATATACACAGTCAAACATATTTTTTCATCACACACACACACACAAATGTACATATACGTACCTACGAACGCGCAGAGAGACAGACACGCATACAAACATATAATCAACACACATACATACAATCATTTATTCTAACGCATATACATACATACACACATACATACCAACAGACAGACACATGTATACATTAGCAAACAAAATATAAAAATTACATCAATACATAAATGCTTACCAAATTAAACCATGCATACATACAGAACATGTCGAATCTAGTAAAGAACAAACTGCTAAATACAAAAATACATAATAATAAATAAATATAAAACTACTATCTATATCCACATATACTTAGAATTGGAAATACTATCGATATAGTATTGTCATAATGTACTATTCAAAAATGCGTTAGCCCAGGTGTGTTTAGTGTCATGTCTATTGTATCAAAATTGTATCTCATCTTGTTAATGATTGTCTTTATCATTATCATTGTTGTCGAGATAATGCTTGTCATCATCGTCATCGTCGTCGTCATCGTCAGTTTGAACATCTCCTTGTTGTTATTATCATCATCATTCATATAATCAGATCATTATTCCATAATTTCAATTATCACATTCACCATCACCGTCATCTTTCCATAATCATCATCGCCATCTTCGTCATCATTTCATCACCATCTTCTTCATCAACACCACTACCACCTATGCCACTACCACTACCGCTACCGCCACAATCAGCCGCAGATGGTAGCAACGGAGTGGATAGCAAGCGCACTCGAACCTCCTACACCAGACACCAGACCTTGGAACTCGAGAAAGAGTTTCATTTCAATCGGTAGACGATTCATTCTTTGAATAAAAATTAATTTAGTTATTCAGTTAATTAATTAATTATTTATTTATTTATTAATTTATCAAATTAACTTATTATAAATTTTTATTTTATTAATAATTTTTAAGCTCTGCTTTTAAAACAAAATCATTTTACATAGTTCATTTTCAAAAAACTGATTTAACGTTTATCCTTCATACCCATCAAACAATTGCAACCAACAACCACAACCACAATCGCCACAACCACATCCGCCACAGCTACCTGACCAGACGCCGTCGCATTGAGGTGGCCCACATGCTGAACCTGACGGAGCGCCAGATCAAAATCTGGTTTCAGAACAGACGCATGAAGTGGAAGAAGGACTACAAGATCGCTCACCTCGCCAAGGCGCAGCGGGCCGCTCACGTCGACGTCATGCAGGGGATGGTGGCCGCTGGGGTAGGCCCTGGGGGGTCTATGCTTCATCATCATCACCTGCCCCTGCAACATCATCACCACCATCACGTTCCTATGGCTCATGCTCATCATTATCTGTAGGCTGGCTGGGGAGATGGTGATAAAGATGATAGAGACACGGACAAGCAAACGCAGACAGACAGACAGACCAACACAATACTAACGAATAGTTAATAATTTTTTTTCTTTTGCGTAGATTGTTGTTGAACATTTGGCAACAACATTAAACGCAACAACATTTCAACAAACCATTTTTTACACGATAGGGTACAGATAGCTGGTAATATTTATACATACATATATAAATGTGTTCGTTAACTTTCAAGTATTGAGCGTGCAGGTAAAACCTGAAGAAATAAAACTCAGAAACCAGCATGAGCTCTTCTAAATAAATCACATATATAGTAATATAAAACACATAAAATATAGACAAATAATTATATAAATAATCAATAATAATAACAGTAACAACGTTAATGATAATGAATAACTGATGATAGCACACTTACATACAGACAATCAAACAGACAGACAAACATATACATATGTATAAATTTTAATAGTTATTGTTTACAAACATGGCTAGGAACCATTTTTTTCATGAATTTTTATGCATGTTGTTCATTGTACGTTGTTTGTGAATAAATAAATAAATTATTAAATCTAGAAAGAGAAAGAGAGAGAGAGAGAGAGAGAGAGAGAGATAGAAAACAAGAAAGAGAGAGAGAGATAGAAAAAGAGAGAGAGAGAGAGAAACAGAAAGATAGAGAGAGAGAGAATGCAAGAATTAAATGGAAAAGGAGAAGGGACACCTAACGCATAGCTAAAAATGAACGTTATTGAGTTTGAAAGTTTAGTTACTCTGTATATTGACATTTTTTTTGTAAAATTTTGGATTATATATAACACATATAAAATTTTTATTCTGCGTTATCAATACAATTATTCTCTTGTTGAAACATTATTACTACATTATTATTATTATTCTAGTATTATTGTTATTATTTTTGTTGATATTTATACGGCTTGTCCTGAGTTTCGTCTTTTCATAATATTAGTTGAATTGTAGTTTATTGTATGTATGGTTGTATGTATGTATGTTCGTATAATTGTATGTTTGTTTGTATGTTTGTACGTGTGTATGTTTATTGATTTTTTTTGTATGTAGTTGTGTATGTAGCTGCATGTTGAATTTTACGCTAATTTTACAATACGATTTGAGCTGATATTGTTTTTATTTATTGCTAGCAAATTTGCTCTGTGGTAAAATGGGTAAAAATTTATACTGTAATCCTTAATTCGATAATAACATCAATAATAACAGCACTAAAAATTGAAATTTTAACAATAATACGGTTAATAAACTAATTATTATTAAACTAATTTTAATACATGTCTTACTATTAAATTTCTTTACTGAAGCTTTATAATGTTATAGGTTTGTCTCTAACTAATGTTATTATTATTATGAAATTAGTAGTATTCATTTATCGGTTCATAACTTATTATTAATATTACCAATATTGATATTATTATTATTTACATAATTCTCGTTGTAGTAGTAGTAGTGGTAGTAGTAGCAGTAGTTGAAGTAGTAGTATTATTAATATGTAATATTTTAGAAATGTTAGAGTTTATTTCATTAACTTGAATTGAATTTATAAAAACCATTTGAGTAAAAATTTCATTTAATTTAACTTTAAAATACGTTTAATTGCGTTTTAATATGATTTTAAATTTGCAATGATGAGTTTCTTTATTTTCAATTGTGTCTTTACTGAGAAAGCATTTTGCTTAATTAATGTTTTTCATATTCGTATCCAAGACAATTTCAAACACAGTTCTCAGCTACATTGGGTAATTTTTTATTAAAATTTGCAGAGAAGAGATGCCAAATCCTTCATAATTTTTATTCATAAAAATTCATAAATTATTATTATTATTCTCATAATTTTCATGTTTTCCATAGTTTTATTAATAATAATTATTATTATAAATCACATTTCGTTCATAGATATTTTATAATTGAAATTAAGTACGATAACACCAAATTAATCATTCAATTAAGTGAACTCAATTATCTGGTTAATTATCATTAATTTTATAATGTTTAATTTAAAAATAATTAAATAAAAATTGTATCAATCATCCCTAGCCATCCAAGTCATCTATAACTACACAAATCATAAACATTGTTCTGAATAATACATATAAATCATACAAATCATTAATAATAATAATAATATTATTTTTATTATTATTATTAATTATAGTTATATAGCAATTATTATGAATCAATACTGTCTGATTTTTTCAAAAGGGTAACGATTTTTTTATTTTATTTTTACTAAAAGGGTACGAGCTATACAAACTATATATATATATATATATATATATATATATATATAGATATATATTTTTTTTTCTTATTATTTTTGATGTTGTTGGTATTATTAATTATAACCGTTGTCACTGTTCATATGTCTTGTTTTAAAGTATTTATATTTATTGTTGATTATTACATTTATCTGGCTTTTATTTTATTCACGTACTTTTTTTGTGCTTCTATTGTTTATCAATTTAATTTTTTGCGTTAACTGTAAAGTAATGATGAGTAAAAAAATATCACATGCACACGTACACACGCACACATACACGCACACACACACACACACACACATACACGCACACACACACACACACACACACACAAGTGCATATATATACATACAATATTATTCATATTTTTTTCTCATACCACCCGTTATTATTTTTTTATGCTCGTATCAGCGTAATCTATTTTTGTATTTATCATGTAAAATATTAAGAACAAAAATACACACACAGAAAGAGATTGACAGACACACACATACACACAGATACAAACACACACACGCATACACGCATATATATATATATATGTATTGTTTTGCTGTATATATACTATAGAAATATATATATATATGTATAGTAAAAAGAATTAAGGGTAATGATATACAAGTTTTGTATTTGTATGTGTGTTTGTGTATGTGTTTGTGTGTGTGTGTTTGTGTTTGTATCATGTATTTTTCAACTAATCATCGTTATACTTTCTTCTTGTTATTTTTTTTAAATTATTATTATTGATGTTGTTTTTAATAATAATATTGTTGTTGTTGTTGCCAAATATTATTATTATTATTGTATTAAGAAATTAAACTCGAGACCAATGCATAAACTATTTTTGATATGGTTATGCATATAAGTATTTTATTTTGTTTCATAAATTTAATTAAGAAAATTTGTGTAAAAATTTAATTTTAAATATTACAATTGCAAAATTACAAATCTATTATTACATGGTTGGTTAAAATAATCATCAAAAAACGTTACAAAAAGTTAATAATGTTCATTCTTTGAAAGGGTAAATCACGTCATTAAAACATTACATTATCGCGTGTTACCAACATTTCAGCATTACATTAGCATATGATAACATCAACTCATCATCGTATTCCAGCATTGTAACAATTTTATAACATGTTTTAACTCCACGTAAGACCATTTTTTCATCCTTCTGAAATACCGACATGTCCAGATAATATTACAAAATGACACACTTAATGTTTTCGTGCCAAATAGAACTAAATACTAAAATATGTATTTATTTTAAAATGAAGGAACACAATTTTTCCCAAATAAGTATAAATATATACACCATCAAGAAAAATGTCAATTAATTTCTGGGAAGGTTGTCATTTTTTTACAAATGGCCCATCCTAAATTGATAAAATACAATACATAAGCGTACATACGTAAATACAAAAAACATACACAAATACAAATATATACAAATAAATAATATATACAAACATTTTCTGTATTGTAATACAAGTGTGTGCTTGTATATGAGTTTAGTATCGCGATACAAAGAACATTGTTCTAATGAATAAATATTGTTTAATATCTTTTTTGATATGTTTAATATTGTTAAATTTCATTTAAAAAAAAAATCATTTTAAAATTGACATACTAAATGAATTTAACTCGATTAAACCGTTTAACTAATCTTGTACATTCATATTATAACTTTGTATAAACATCATTTATGTATATTATTGTGTTTGTGCATATATATATATATATATATATATATATATATATATATATATATATATATATATATATACATATGCTGTTATAAGACCATAATTAATGT